AGTTGTGTCTAACTGGGAGAAACATGCTCAGTCTGACAAAAGAGCGACCATTTTACTGTGTGTTCAGAGAACAGGGTTCAGTGTTTAACAGCTGAGAAAAACTGATGAAACGTGAGCTCCTCTGAAGTTCTGCTCATGTCCAGCAGGTGGCAGTCTGTCTCCACTGAGGAACGAGTCTTCATCACTTTGAGCATCTTTCTGTCTGTTTGTGATGAAGGAGCAGCTGCCACCTTCATCCTGCTGCTCTTCATCCAATTCCTTTTTGTCTCTTATTTTTCTGTTTCTCTTCAGACATTAATGTCAATATTTAATCAATTAAATTATTATTTTTACTCTGTTCCTTTTCTCTTTCAGACAGACTTTAAAAAACAAACACAAGAGTTTCACTAAACTGAAGATGAAGTTGTTTTTACTTCTTAATTTAAATTTAATAAATAATTAGTTATTTATCAGCTCCATCACTCCTGTCTTCAGTTAAAGGTTGACTTAATGATTAAAGATTTAAACCTGACTGACCTGAAGTACATGAGATGAACAAATATAAATAAACATCTGACACACTCTTCTTCCTGTTTTATTCTGAAGGTTTCCCTCTTTTCCTGTGAAGTTTTTTCTTAATGTTTGTTTCAGCTCATCTTTCCTCTGATGTTTGGTTTGAGCATCAGTCATGGCAGTTGTTTTTAGGATTAAATCTGCAGAAGAACCGTCTGATTTCTGATTTCTGTTGGTGTTTCTGCTCCTCAGGGTTTCGTTCAGAAGCTGGACGGCTTCATCTCGTGGCTGCAGGAGGCCCTGGACAGCACCGAGAACTGGACCCAGCCCAGACAGGACCTGGACAGTCTGAGGGCGTACCTGGACACTCACCTGGTGAGTGCAYGTGTGTGCAGATCAGCAGAGTCACCCTGCAGGTCAGACTGTGCAACAAGCTTCATGTCAGCAGTCATGGTTTGTCTCTAAAAACACTTTGTGTCAGACTCGTCTCTGCAGAAACTCGACTCAGAGACAGATGTCTTATCTCACATTTATTCTGCTCCCGCTCTGTGTGTSTGTSTGTGTGTGTGTTTGTGTGTTTTGGGTTGTTTACATGTGTTGACTTTGTTGTAGGTGCCAGCAGCAGTACCGTTAGCGTCGGTTAGCTTCAATTAGAATTCCTGCTTTTAATTGGCACGTCTTGTTAAATAAAGCAGACGGGATGAAAAAGCATCACTAATAGGCCTTTGAACTGCTACACTGTTGATAGCATGTTAGCTAACAGGCTCGGTGTGTCCGTGTGTGTGTTTGTGTCGATAGTCACACTTGCACTTTGTAGTTATTAGTGTGTGTTTGGGGGAATAATTGGGTGTGTTTTGTTGATTAGTGTGGAGTGAAGCCAGGATCTCTTCTTCACTTTCTTCTGTCCTTCTCTAGTTTTATTTACAAAAACTCTCAGTTAAACCGGTTTGTTGAACTTTTACAAGATATTTTAGAGGAAATGATGCAAGTGGGCCCAAACAGTGCCAGACCGGACTGTTCTGGTCCGGATCTGGATCTGTTCTGAACAACAGAAAGAAAACAGGTTTTAACAGTTTGTGAACAACAGTTCACACACAAACACACACAAACACACACACACACACACACACACAC